AAAGAATTAATAATATTATCATCATTCCTATTATTATTATAAATATTATAATAATTATTATCCACCATTTTATATTAATTTCACATTCTATTCCTGTTATTGATGGTTTATACCAAATTGAACATTTAGTACATATTGAATTAGATGCCATTTTACAATGATTAATAATTGAATAATGAATACATTTGCCTTGATATAATATATATTCTTCTTTACATCCTATACATACCCCACTTTCCCAATGACATTTATTACAATTTGGTTGAATATTATTACAATAAACACACCTTATTCCATCAAGATAAGTATTATTGTCACAATAAATACATCCTTTGTTTCCAAATTCTTTACAATTTGTTAAATGAAAAATTGATTCACATTCTCCTGTTTCATTTAAAAAATAATTTATACCACATTCAATACATGACGTTAAATTATTACAAATTTTACAATTATTTGAACATCGTTCACAAATACTTTGATTTAAATAATAGAAATCTTTACATTTTGCACATTCTCCTTTTATTTCTGATGCAAATATTTCACAGGATTCAATTTCTTGTTTAGCACTAATACATGTATTTTCTTGAAGCATAAAACCTGAAATACAACTCGAACATGTTTTTGAATTTAATACACAATTTAAACATGTTACATGACATGGAAGACATTGATAATTATTAGCATATGTTCCATTAGTACATGATATACATTTTCCTTTATTATAATCAACACAATTAGTAATAGGATTTGGTTTACATTGAAAAACAATTTGGTCTAATTCATTTAATTCTTTATGTAAATAATATCCATTTTCACATCCTTCACAAATTCCATTTGTAGAACATAAAGTACAATGATCTCCACAAGAAATACAATTTATTCCATTAAAATATTCATTTGGATTAATACATGAAATACATTTCCAATTATTAATATAACAAATATCTTTTCCTAATACACATTCTCCTTGTTGATTAAGATAATATTCATCACTTATACATGATAAACATGTTTTTATTCCATATGAATCTATTTGACATTCTCCACAATTATTTCCACATTGTGTACAAATGCTTCCATTATAATAATATCCATATTCACAAATTACTATTGAACTAATTATTTTTGAATGTTCAATATATGAACAATTTGTTCCAAAATACCCATTACCAATATCACAACTTTCACAAGTATTATTATTTTGACACATTATACATCCTTCTTTACATTTAGTACAAATACCATTTATATTATAATATCCAAGAGGACATTTATAACAAATATCTCCTTTAAAATAATTACATGGTTCTTTATATAATATACATTTTTTATTTTGAAGTTGATAACCATTATAACATAAAATACATTCATTTGAATTACAATATTGACAATGTTCAGAGCATTTATTACATTTATTCTTTTCTCTATCAATATAATATCTTTCATTACACTGAAAAACATTTTCCATTATTTGTATAATGCATACATTCTTCAACTTTACACTTTAACATTCATTATTTTTC